CCCATGTTTCTACCCCCAGCCCTGACCTGGCTTCCTGAACACCAACCAGCCTTCCCATTGGGGGCAGCATTCTTGTTTGCCCTGTTGTCTGGGTAATATGACTGAGTGGAACTCCCATGTCAAATACATTGCCAGTGCTGCCCTGAGGGACTGTCAGCCAGAGCCCTGTGAGTGCTAGAACTGCTAGTCTTGTGACGTGGGCACCTGTTTGCCAGGCCTGGGCACGGGCCCAGGGTCACGCTCACTCTGGGGCTCCCGTCAGCTGACTATTCTGGGCTCTTGCTGACCTGGGCCAAAGTCAGGCCGCAGCCAAGAGGGCCCTGAGGCGGCTCTCCCGGTCCCCAGAGGCCAGCTCTGGTTTCTGCTATATAAACAGAAGGGGACACACTGGCTTGGGGACAGTTCCCATCCAGAGTCTGCTCTGTCAGTATATGGCCTCAGCTGGGAAGAGCAGGCTGTCACAGTTCCCCTCTGGGTTTCTCGAGGCTGTGGAAAGAGCCCCACTAACCCTGAATTCTTCCTTTGTTGTCTGGGTTTGGGAGGACGAGAGCTGGTAAGTTTGGGAAGTGGGGACACTGAGGCACAAAAAACTGGGCTGTTTGGATTCCCTTTCCCACTCTGCCCATCTTGCCAGGTGTTTTCCAGGTGGACGGCATGCTGAGTCCTTTGGCTTTGAGGGGAGGGGGAAGAGGGCGACTGAGGATGTTAGACGGTCGTGGAAATGGAGCTGTAGCAGGGCCGCACTCGGTGATGGAAATCAGACCTGGGGATGCTTCAGGACTGACAGACTTGCCCTCTGCTTCTCCGAGAGACTGCCCACAGGTTGTCCATGTGGCCTGGTGGAGGCCTCGAGGTTGCTCAAGTAGAGGGGAAATAAAGTGATCTAGATGCCTGTCAGGGGATCTCAGGGTTGCCCTCTGGCTAGGGACCCAGGCTCCCTGTCCTGTTGGGCTATCTCAAGATTGCTCTCTGAGTAGGGACCTGGGCTCTCTGTCCTGTAGAAACCGGCCACTGGGCTGAGGGGTAGATCTCTTGCTGTTCCCCATCTTGCTCACTCTCCTTGCTGTCAGTCCCATCTGGGAGCTGAGAAGCAGGGTTGTACTGAAGCCAGCTAGCCACAAACACGCTCCCTGGGACCTGGGCCAGAAGCAGCCTCTTACGTGGGAAGCTCCCACACTCTCCTCCTCCTTCAAGTTTCCCCTTCTGAACAGGGTCTCTAACTGAATCCAGAGCCTGCACTAAAAATACTTTAACAATAGGAAAGTGTGGCGGCCTTCCCTGCTCCTTATCAGGGAGGCTTTATTTTGAATTTGGCTTTGTGCTGAGGAGGTTGGGTGGGGAGGAGACCTTGGGTAGGGCTAAGGAGATTTGGTGGGTGTAGGAGTCCTGGTGGGATACCCTCCCAGGTGGAGAACTGGCTAGTAAAGATGCATCCAAAGAGCTTGTTAGGGGGACAAACGAGGTAGCCTTTCTCGAGGTCTTTGACCTCCTCTGTGCTTTCCTGCTCAGGCTGCCAGTCCTTGTTGAGGTCTAACCTTATTCCTATATACTGTGTATTATTTTCTTCAGCCTGGGAGGTAGGTGATGTGGAAAAGTCACAGGATTGCCGGAGGCTTCTGTGACCATGCTGACTTCCTTCAGTGATCAGTTTGCCGCCTCCTGCCAGTGTTAATCTAGCACTAGCTGCATTCCTCAGTGCTGGATAGAGCTTCTTGCCTTGCTCCTGCTTTCTCTCAGCCCCTCAGAGGGGAGGCGCTACTGTTTGGTTCTCAGAGAGGGAGACTGTAACCCTGGTCCCTGTCTGTCCCTTGCCACTTTGTGCTACAAATTTCCGACATCCAGGTCCGAGTGCTCTGTTCGGGTGTTCAACCTTCCCCTCCTCCAGTGAACTGAATTCCCCACCCATGGAACTTACAGTGTTCACATGGAAAATGATTTCGAAGGGGCCTAGGGACTTGGCCAGGTTTCACTACAAGGAGAAGGCTTGAAGCTCTTCCAGAGCTTGCCTGTATTTGAGGGAACAGGGTGCATGCTTTATGGGCTAACCTGGGAACTCAAACTGGAAACCTATTTTGTGGGGGAGTAAAAATATCTGGTCACTGCAGGGCCTGGAGAAGGACCAGCCGATGAGAGCCAGAAACCTGGTCTTGATCCTTCACCGAGGTTCCCAGAGCTGCCATGGGAAGCCCCTGGGGCAGCAGGTAACATTGCCCACCGCTAGGGCAGGAAGTGGAAGTGGCCTGGTCCTGGCAGCATGGGGCTGAGCAGGGGAAGCTCCTGGGGCCACTTCTCAGCAGGAGGAAACCAAGCTTACTCGACCCACCCCATGGGAAGAGCGTGGAGGCTGTTGGGTGGGGACAGTCTTAGTAAAAGTGGGGGAGGTTCCTGCCCTCCACATTACAGGGTGGGGCTCAGTCCAAGGGGCATGGGGCATCGTGGGAAAGGGCTGTGTGAGTCCACTTCCCCTATTCCCTGTTTACCCAACTGAGGAATGATGGTGGACGTTGCTAGCTCAGGCCACTTAGTGTTGGAGGGTAAAGGCCATAAAAGAAAAGGCCTCTGCGGAGGGGAGGTGGCCATCACCCTCTTGTTGCTCACACATAGGTGGGGATGGAGCTGAGCTTGAGTCTGTAATTCCCTATCATACGGTTTCTTCCTCCTCATCCTGTCCCCCCCAGCTAGGATTACAGGTGCTTTTCTAATGTCATTATGGTTCAGCTCCTCCTAACTCCCTGTGTCACCATTGATAGAACAGATGTCTAATGAGAAACAGCTACTATGATTTCAGAAGCATACACTTGAGTGAACTTGAACTCAGTCAAATCCAGCTGCATCTGCACCCACTTACACCAGTGGTCTCAACCTTCCGAATGCTGCGACCCTTCCTTATGCCATGGTGACCTCCAACCATAAAATTATTCTCGTTACCACTTCATAACTGTAATTTGGCTACTGTTAAGAATTGTAATGTAAATATCTGTATTTTCTGACCCATGTGAAATGACTGTTCTACCCCCAAAGGGGTCGTGACCTCACAGGTTAAGATCCACTGTCATAGGGTAAAAGCTTGGGAATGTAGTCTAGTCTGGTGACCTCTCTAGAACCAACACAGTTGGGGCACAATCATCCAAATCAGGAACTGGCGTGCTTCTAGCCCCATCACGGACTCCCATGGAGACACCTGTAACAGGTGGCCATAACTGATCTGTGGTGGATTCACAGGAATCCAGGCCAAGGCAGTGTGGTCAGCAAGAGCATGGAACCGGAGTTAGAGGAATCTGTTTGTAAAATGGAGGCTGTGATTTCGAGCTCAGTCAGAATGGGCGGGAAGAGGGCTAAATGGGTGGATTCGGGTTTGGTATCTTGGCCCAAAGTCTGGCTCTTTTTAGTGTCTTGTTTCTGGACTTACCTCCTACTGGTAAGTCTTTTACCAGTGGGAAAAGACTTATTGGGAGTTGGGTGGCCCAGGAGCTGAAGTCAGAGGCCAGACAGGATTCCAGCACTGGCTGAGCTCCCAGGAATCAGCTGAAGGGCCTCGTAGGGCTGGGTGCTGGTGTGTCTTGGTGGGTTGGGCTCTGCTGTGGGCCTGACTGCACAGCGCTGGCTTTTGTCTGCAGACTGTTACCTCTCTTCCCTACCCTCCATGGGCTGCAGGTGTTCGTCTCTAGTTTTGGACACAGCTCCCAGCATTACTTGTTTCTCCTGCCTCCAGTGAACAGTTGATCCTGGTGTGAGTCCTGAAAGCAAGACCTGGTGCTCCTTTGAGAGGTTTCTGTCTAGTCTGGATCCAGGTTTGCTCTAGGTCTCCCAGAGGTCGCGTCAGTCATGTTCCTACTTCCACCTCGCAGAGCCCTAGGTTTCTCTTCTTGAGCAGCCTCTGCTCAGCCTCGAAGCCTGACATGCCCCCAAGTCCTTTTTGCTTTTCTTCTCTCTGCGCTAGGCTGCATGCATCGCTCTGGTACCTGTATGGGTGGCCCCAGCTTTGTCTCACAGAGGAGCTCCTTCTCCTTACTGATGACTTGGAGTGGCCTGAGTTCAGACCTCCAGCGTCACGCTTCCACACAGTGGCTGTAGTTCCTTATTGTCCTCTAGCGTTAGGGCAGCAAGAGGGCAGCCTCTACAGTGTGCAGTGGCTCGAGGGGTTGGCCTGGGTGACGGTGCAGTGTGGGGGTATCCATAGTGAGTTCCCTGGTACTTACATGTCAGCTTCTACAGGGTGGTCTGTGCCACTTTGTGCAAAGGCAAAATAGCGGGGAGGGAGGAGGATGCTGGAACTCAAGCTTGGAGCTAAGACTGGGCCTCAGCACACCCTGGTGAAGACAAGACAGTGCACCTGCTGTTGATGGCAGGTACTAAAGCCAATTTGGAAGTAGAGGGAGGCATCCAGGGTTGGGTGGAGAGAGAAGGTGGGGAGCAGGGGGCACAACCAGAGCAGGCATGCTACTCCTCATTGAACCCCTGGATCCTGTCGTCAAATGATAGCAGTGCCTTCCATATTTAAACAAAAGGCTCAAGGAGAGAAACATCTAACTCTGATGGTGTGAGGGAAAGATCAGGATGCTTCCAGTTTACATGTCCCTATCACACTTCAGCTTTCCCCAGGCGGCCTAAAAACTCTTTGGAAGATGGCTTGACAAAGTTCAGAGCTGTGGACTCAGTAACAGCAAGACTGCATGCTGGCTTGGGGGTTCTGGTTTAACTTCTGATCAGGTCGCTGAATGACACCAGCAATGTCTGAAAGCTGTTCCATATGTGGTGAAGATTTAGAAGGCAGCGACGGGCTAGTTAGGGAGGTCTTTCCTGGAGAGGGGATGGAATCCAGGTTACAAATGCCAGGCAAACATTCTAGCACTGAGCTACACCCTCAGTCCATTTTCTTTTTCCTTCCTTCCTTCCTTCCTTCCTTCCTTCCTTCCTTCCTTCCTTC